TTACCAAAGTGGAAAGTGGAGAAACTAAGGAAAGAGAGTGAGAGTGTGTCTGATTTCTCCAACAAGATCACAAAACTTTGTCTCCTCAACATTCCAAATGGTTTGATTCATCAGAGACAACATTTGCTTTGTAATGAAGGAAGAAGCTTTGGGATTGGTGAAGAAGAAGTCAAAGCACATGAAGTGATCAATATTTTTTAGGGTTTTTGTTTTTTTTGGTGAGACCAAAGAGGAAAAAAAAAAACATGGATCCGTTTCTCAAGCCACGTTTCTTGCTTCTTTTTAATTACGAAAATTACCACTAGGAAACGGATGTGATTTCAACTTGTGTAACAACTTCTTCTTCTAGTCTATTCTTAAGAATAAACAATTTTATCTTTTTTCTATGCAACAAACATAAACGAATTTCGAGGAGATGGATATTTAAAAACAAACAAGGAGAAGAAAAAGAAAAAGTTTGAAATTCTGATCCTTTGGTTGCAGAGAAAAAGTATAGAATGAAGGAGAAGAAGTCATGTGATTTCTATTTATTTTCCTCTCTATGTATCATTATTTTTAGTTTAGTTTAGATTAATGAAGATATTACTGTAAAATCTAGGACCAAGTGTATTTCTATTTTATCTTCTTACATGGAAAAATAGTCGTTCAATTTTTAATATATTTACAATTGACAGATTTATTCCCTAACATTGACATTGTAAAATTGGACGAAAAAAAACATTAACATCTATATTTTTCTTAGACTTTTTTCGTACATAAATTTACAAAATCAAGGCACACAATAATTGAGATATAAATATGTCAATTACAAATACATAAGGAATTAAACGATCATTTTCCTCTTGTTCCGTTTATTACACATCTTTGTCTTATGTTACATGAATTTGCAACATAATCAGTCTTTTTGGTTAAAAACTGAAAATAAGGACGAGTTACACAGATTGCAAACAAAAGAGAAGAAGAAAAAAAGGCAAATCATTAGTATTTTTTTTTTTTCTTTCAAATTTGGGAGCCAAAGCTTTTAGTTTGGCCAATAATTACAATATACAATTCTCCATACTCAGAGAAACCAGAACACACCAAG